AAATTATATAATAAATGATCTGTGGAGTATTTTGAGCTGAAACTTCACAGACACATTCTGGGGACACCAGAGACTCATATTACATATTGTAAAAAGGGGCATAATATGTCACCTTTAAATGAAATCAAATAGATGCAAATAGTTAATTTATTTGATTTTATTTAAATAATCATATTTCCGAAGTGCGTTTTTTCAAATTGCTTAGAATTAGCATAAATCTGTTCATTGTGACAATATTTAAATCAATTCAGTTAAAAAGTATGAAAATGGTTAAATATGATTAGCTGTGGGGCAAGCAATATTCAATTAGTTTAAAAACACTGAAACAAATTGGATTTATTGATGATAAATATATAAACATGGTTATTGTGTGTTTAAAACACATTCAGTTTATTAGTACTATTGCAGAAATCTGACCTGTTTCATTAAAGTTTGACTGACAAATATGCATCACATTAAGTTTATTATTTAAAACTAGTGGATGAAAATTTTACATGCAATTCAAATGCATAAATCTTAAAAGCAGGCATAAATTATTACTATTTTTTTTTTTTTGTCTTTAACTGCAACTTCCATTTTTATTATTGATCATTTGCGGCAGTTTCCCAGGAAGTGACGATTTTGTTCTCTTGTGATGGAAACAATGCTTTATTCGCAAATGTTTCATGCAATATTCCCATTTTTGCAAATGTTTCTACCTAACAAGTAGCCTAAAACAATGTCAAAATAGATTCTGCAGCTGTTCTAAAATCTTGCCTGTAGTTAATATAGTAATTTCCCTGTTATTGTCTAAATTTGCAGCAGTAATATCACATTATGATAATTATGAAAAAGAAGCATCAACTGAATTCAACTGAAGCACAATTCACTTCAAACTCACATTCAGATCTGACTTAAATATCTCACTCTGACAAATGTTTTGGAAGCAAAATGCAGTAGGATTCATAAATGATCAGTGAGCTGGACTCCTGTTTAATGTCATAGAGGTGATAAAAGGTCCTTGTTTACGCTCTGATGACTGTAAAAGCTTCGTAGATGTCAAACTGCTCGAGACGTCGGGTCAAATCTCGTCTCTGTTCGATTAAACACGAGCTAATCCAAAAGAACTAGAACTTGAGTGGGAAAAAAAGAGAATAGAAATAACATTGACTCATATCAAAACTTCTTATATATCCATTTGCTTCTGGGAATGTTTATGAATCACGTCTCTTGTAAAACCGAGTGGTATTTGGGGTAAGATGTCTCCATTCAGTGAGCTCATGAGACATGGATGACTTTAATTTAAGGAATTGAATCAAACTTGATTAGAATTAAAGGTAATTCTGGAAACGCCACATAGTCTTTGTCCTGTGTTTGTGGCAGAAATTCAGTGCATTTATAATTGGGAGTTTGTAAATTTGTAAAGAAAATGTTTTATACGGTAAAAAAAAAAAAATAGGGATATACATTCTGTAATTATTTTTAAAGCAAAAATGCATTTATGAATGGACAGAGTCTGTACTTTCTGATAAATGACAAAAAGCATTTAATCAGTGCTATTACTAATAATGATCATCATAATATAACTACATGGTTAAAGTCAGCATGAAATTAAAATTAACTTGTTTTACTTTAATAATTTGTGTTCCCTCTTATATAGTCGTTTAACTTGAAATTATGACAGAAATATATTACTATTGTACAGTAGAATTCACTTCTTTAATAATATTGTCATTATTATTAATGATAATAATAATAATAATACAGTTTATTAAACACAATTTTAAAGGAGTATCACAGTTTTTCATGGACGTTTTTATTTTTTTACCTGTTGTGCAGCAATTTGTTTGCTTAAAAATTAAAGGAATTTTATTCAAATTTTATTTTTATTAGTTTAATTAAAAGATTATTAGTTTAATTAAAAGATTAATTAAATTTTTAGTTTTGTCCATTCATATGATGACCACCATTTTTGATAATAAATTTGCATTAAATCATAAAACACAAAATACAGAAAAAATTAAACGGACAGCATAATTTTTTATAAAATGCAACATTTCATAGGGAAGTTATACTGTTACAATTGTAATTATTATATTGCTAAAGCTTTATGAATTCAGTTGATTAGACATCTTTAAGCTTAATAAAATGTAATTAAACCATCAACAGATCAGAAAAGTTTAAAACTGAAAACACAGAATTTGAGAAAAAATAAAATGGCTTTTGGGGGAAAATGATTTCACCTCCTTAAATGACATTTGCTGACTTTTCCAACCACCCTTATTTTTTTTATAAATATTTTAAATACTCAGAAATTATATTATGAAAGTAAAATGGGTTTTGAATGCTGGTTTGTGATGTTTTACTCTGTAATTTTATGTCTAACTCCTTCACTAAGAGTACCGCCAAATGGATTTGCATAATAATATGTAGCTCCGCCCCAAACTCACGTGATTGGTCGAGTCAGAAGTTGACATGTTGGGCCTCTCAAACAAACAGATCAATGTTTAACTTAACTGAACTGAGATAAATGTTTTAACATTGAATGAAAAGAATTTGAACATTGAAAATCTTTAGTGGTAATTAGTTTATAGTTATATCGAAGGGTTTTCTTAGCATAAGGCTTTTGTGTATCCAGGCTCTGGATCTCTGTGCCACATTTAAAGTGCATCATCTGTGTTTTCTGTATATAATGATGCAGAGATGAAATGATGCAAACCTGAGCATGCAGTACCACAAACAAGACTTCAGGCCAAATGTTAACAAATGTCTGGAAGTCTTCAGACGGGTTTCTCTGGAAGAAATAATCTCCCCCCTGTGAGCACTATTGAGTGGAAGGGAAAGGGGGTTATTTTTAGGGTGCTTTGAATGCCTTGCCTTATTTGGGACGGTTTGCAAGCACTAGAGATCGTTCAGGGCCGCGAGACGCTGTAGGGCCGATCGTTTTATGGGAGGTAGAAGACAGAAAAACACTTGATCAGTGAATGTCCAGTACAAGAGAACAGAACAATCACCTCACAGTGATTTTTTTTTCCCAGTCAAATATCATCCCTGTATTTAAGTGGGTAAGTCTCACAAAGAAATGTCCAGATCATATTTTACTCCAAAATCAAGAAAGAATAGATTATAATTAAATATATATATTTTACATAAAGAAAATCAGGCCTCTAAAATCTCACTGTAGTAACAGACTGATGAAAATCATTCTGCTTGATAAATCTTATTGGTCCCAAAATAAGCTTAATTTTCTTTATGCAGATTATCATTTATTTATATTTCTTTTTTTTTTTTAAACAACTCGCTTTTCTAGTAGCTTTTTCTATTTCGATTTTCTATGAAGGGCAGATACAGATCGATAAAATGTAATAATAATAAAATGTTTTAAGTTGATGATAAAAGTTTTGCATAATTGGTATCAGAGCGAAATCTTGAGTTTTCAAATCTGTTTAGTATTTAAGAATTTCACAGGTAACAGAATTGAACATTTACTGATGCTTCTGTGTTGTTTTAGATGTTGATCAGCTTCTTAACCAGTTTAACCAGCAGTACTTTCTTGCTCATCCAGCTTCACCATAAAGATCAAGCTGGTAGCTGGAAAATCTGCACCAATAACCAGCATAAACATGTCTGTGTCAGTACTAAAAGTCATGCCTCTGTAAGCTAGTGACCTAGTTCACCTGCTCGTATACTGTTGGTATTGTCAGTGATTATTCTGCGTTAATGTTTAGTTGCATGTCTGCGTGTTTTTTCCAATGTTTTATTTGTAGGTTCTCTGAAAAGGAACACGGAGGAACATCAAACAGAGGTGAGCAGATTAACTCATTTATAGCTGAGATGCTATATACATCTCATTTACTTGATTGAGTCTGGTTGTGCTTTCTGTGTGGATTGTATTTTGTGTGTAATGTTGAATCTTCTGTATTAATTATATTTGGTTATAGGAGGTCGAAACACCAGGAGAGGAAATATGAGAGCAGAAGAATCCAGAGGTAGGTAAAACCTAAAGCTATTTGGCCTAAAAAAATAATACATAGACCATCCAAATCTTCATTAGCAGAACATTTAATGCTTGGATGTTCAAATTTGCATTAAAATTGTGAATTGATGTTAGAAATTAAACACGTAAAAAGAAGTTATGAATAAATAAAACATGAATTCTGAAAGTCCTTTCTGGGCAATAGCAAATAAAATTATTTTCTTTCCACGTATATTTTATTTTATTTCATTTTAATTTTAGTTAAAGCTTTAGTCATTTTGTTGTGTTTTGTCATTTTTATTAGTTTTTTTTTTTTTTTTTTTTAAATGTCCATATAGTTTTCATTCATTTTAATTTCAGTTTTAGTTTCAATTTCAATTTTTTCAATTTATCAAGTTAAACTATTCAAAAGTGAAAAATGTTGCCAAGTGACAAAAGTTTTCAAATAACAAAATTTGTTTTATGACATTAGTTTTACTTTTAGTTAACCATAATAACCCTGTTTCTAGCAAGCATCAAGTTTAAAATACTTTAAAATACCTTTTTGGTAGCTTTTTTATTTTATTTTTATAAATTTAATTCAACATTGCAATAAAATTCAAGCTAAATTTCGATTAGAAGCTAAAAAAAATATTTAATTATGTAAAGTGCATATAAAATAATTAAAGTAAAGTAAATGATTTAAGTAAATATAAACAATCAAGCTAAATTTATATTGTAAACTTTTATAAAAAATGTTAAATTATATATAAATATAATTTAATTAAATATAAAATGTTAAATTAAAAAATATTTAATATAAAAAATGTACTTAAATATAAAAATATTAAATTCAAGCTCAATTTTCATTGGAAGCTTATATAAAATATTGTACATAAAAATACTAAATCAAAAATATTGAACATAAAAATATTAAATTAAAATTTGATCTCAATTTTCATTTGAAGCTTATATAAAATATTGTATATAAAAATACTAATCAAAAATATTGAACATAAAAATATTAAATTAAAATTCAAGCTGACATTAGTTTTACTTTTAGTTAACCATAATAACCCTGTTTCTAGCAAGCATCAAGTTTAAAATACTTTAAAATACCTTTTTGGTAGCTTTTTTATTTTATTTTTATAAATTTAATTCAACATTGCAATAAAATTCAAGCTAAATTTCGATTAGAAGCTAAAAAAAATATTTAATTATGTAAAGTGCATATAAAATAATTAAAGTAAAGTAAATGATTTAAGTAAATATAAACAATCAAGCTAAATTTATATTGTAAACTTTTATAAAAAATGTTAAATTATATATAAATATAATTTAATTAAATATAAAATGTTAAATTAAAAAATATTTAATATAAAAAATGTACTTAAATATAAAAATATTAAATTCAAGCTCAATTTTCATTGGAAGCTTATATAAAATATTGTACATAAAAATACTAAATCAAAAATATTGAACATAAAAATATTAAATTACAATTCGAGCTCGATTTTCTTTGGTAGCTTATATAAAAATATTAAATTATATATAAATTAGTTAATATTATATTAAATTGTTATATTAACAACATTACAATAAAATTCCAGCTCTAATTTCTTTGGTAGCTTATATAAAAATATGAAATTATCTCCTGCAGTCACTGTGGCACTGTGTGGTTAATAATATCCAAGGCTCTTTCCATAATAAGAGTTAATAGGAGTTCACTAAATCATATTCTTCAGTGTGTGTTGATGTGTTTAATTTCTTCTAGTTCGACAGCAAGCGTCAGACAGGAAGGGGAAGTGTGTTCCAGTGGAGGGCAGTAAAGCGAAGGGGAAAGACCGTCTGACGGGTCGAGCGAGGAGGTAAACTGACCTCAAACTGCTGACCGTTTACAGCAACATCCCTCGAAGCCATTATGTCATACATTTAGCCCCATTTAGAGGATGATGGGAAATGCTTTTCAGAGCAGTTTATGGTTTCGTGCATTTCCACTCCCTTTAGCGTTCAACCACAAACGCATCTGATCACATGACTTCTCATAATTCGACTTTTAAAAGCTTATTATGAGTTCCTTATTGTACAGTTAATGGATGTTCATTTACTCATTACACACAGTAACTGATCAAAAAGCCCAGACTATTTTTTTTTTTTATCAAAGCTATTGTGATGCTATTATAGAAGATAAAGATATTATTAAATTCTTATTCATTTATGTATTTTTTATTAAAGATATTATTATTAATGTCATCTAAAATCACAATGTTTTTTTTGTATCATGGTGTTATTTGGGGAAAAAAAAAATAATAATAGTACGTTAAGAAACAACATATAAAATATTGAATAGTACTATCACAATATCTTTGATTTTTAAACAATTACTATTTTAATGGGTAAATTAATATCCAAATTTACTGTATGATAACTAGGATTGCAAATCATTTCTTGGTTTTGTCCTCATAGGTGGGATGCTAAAGAGCAGGAGGAGCATTTGCAGGTGATTTTTATTATTATTATTAGTAGTAGTAGTAGTAGTATTACTACTGCGGTAATTCGAATTTGGGATGAAAATGAGATTAATTTTTATGAAAGCAATTATGCAATAAAATATAATAATAGTCCTAAATATAGGCTTTAAATTTGATCTTATTTTAGTTTTTGGGGTAACTTTTGGACATGTTTTCATGAAATTTACTCAGGTTTGATCAGGTTTGGGATGAAAATGTGCTTGTTTTTTATGAAAATAATTTTTACAATAAAATATATTAATAGTCATAAATATAGGTTTCAAATTGTCTTAATTTTGATTTAGATTTTTGGGGCTAACTTCTGGACACATTTTAATCAAATTCACTCAAAAATGATCAGGTGTGCAATAAAAAAGTGCTTAATTTTTATAAAAAATTATTTTCACAATATGTATTAATAGTCCTTAATATAGGCTTCAAATTCTGCCCTATTTATATTTTTTGATTTTGATTTTCGGGATAATTTCTAGACATGTTTTCATGAAATTCCCTCGAAAATAATCAAGTTTGGGATGCAAATGTGCTTGTTTTTTATGAAAATAATTTCACAATAAAATATAATAAGTCATAAATATAGGTTTCAAATTATGTCTTATTTTTGATTTTTGGGGCTAACTTCTGGACACGTTTTAATCAAATTCACTAAAAAACTATCAGGTGTGCAATGAAAATGTGCTTAATTTTATTTTTTATTACAAAAACAATCACAATAAAATGTATTAATAGTCCTAAATATAGGCTTCAAATTCTGCCCTGTTTATATTTTTTTATTTTGATTTTCGGGATAATTTCTAGACATGTTTTCATGAAATTCCCATAATCAAGTTTGGGATGCAAATGTGCTTAATTTTTCTGAAAATAATTTCACAATAAAATATATTAATAGTTCTAAATATAGGCTTCAAATTCTGTCTTATTTATAATTTTTTTTAATTCTGATTTTGGGGTAACTTCTGGATATGTTTTCATGACGTTTGAGATAAAAATGTGCTTAAATTTTTATGAATATATATATATATATGCACAATATAATATATTAATAGTCCTAAATATAGGCTTATTTATAATTTTGATTTTGATTTTTGGAGATAACTTCTGGATGTTTTCATGAAATTCACTCAAAACCGTTCAAGTTTGAGGTTAAAGTGTAGCCCTTTCGAATATTATAAATACCTGTTGGTTGATTTCTGCTAGGTGTATCCAGAGAGCAGTTTGCAGGAGTTTTTAGAGGAACTCGACGCACTTTGCGCTCCTGAGGTGGAGAGCGTCAATCCAGAGACTGACATTGAAAACACAAAGCCACGTGCATCTGAAGACTCTGCCGGTGTCGCAGACCACAATAGACGTGTTTCTACAGACGTGTCCGTTCTCAAGGCCACCGAGAAAAAGGTCCGCTTTTCTGAGAACAATGATACGAATGGCACAGAAACACCTTCACAGGTCAAGAACGGCCCTGTGGAAGAAGACAGACAAACACTGGCGCGAGACGACAGCGAATGTATCCCGGAGGAGATCAAAGAGCGGGAAAACCGTGTGCAGAGACTGACTCCGCTCACTGAAGCCAGCGAAGCGTCGTGTCCCAAACCCGGAGATGTTCGTATATCAGCAGAACCGCACGAGAACCAACCTGTTGAACACACCAAAAGCTGCTCTAACAGAGGAAACGGTACGTGAACATCGGTTACGTGTTATGCTCCTCATGCATCCCTGCCTATAGAGTTACGGAAGTAAAAACTCCATGCATTTTCTCCATAGAGGAAGTGATTTTTAACAATAACTCATAAACCGTTAAAGACAGAATTACTGTGTGCTCCAAGCTTGTTAATCAATGGTATGTGCTTTTGTCAGACTGCAGTATTTTAACTTATTTTTTATTGTGTTTAAAAGCAGAATTTGTGGTGAAAAACTACATTACCCATAATGCTGTACAGAAAGTTCCACCAATCAGTCACAGCGAGCCAAAAAGCTCCGCCCACTCCCATGATGCACCGCTAATGATGTAATCGAGTCTGGCTGTGCTGTCAAAATACTTAAATATTTGTATTATTATAGATGCATATTTCGTAGCAAACTTGAAATATAGTTTCTATAGATATAATCAACAGCTTTAAATGAATATTTGTTTAGTTTTCAGTTATGTAATACGCAATGCTTCATTGGATTGTAGTTTTTTTCCCCCTCACTAAAGCCGTTAAGTTCAGTCTTGAATCTTTGTCTTTTGGTCCGATTTTCAAATACTTGTCTGCTTCAAATCGGAGTTTGTAATGCTGATTATTGTTTTTATTATTATTATTATTTAATAAAAAATAAAAACTTAAAGTAAAATTACTATTGAAATGTTCAATGTAAAATAAAAACATCAAATATTTAAGGAAAAATAATATAAATAATATTAATTTTATTTTACATATATGTTATGTGTATTGTAATGTTCAAATAAAAGTTTGTAATATTTAATGAAGACCTTTTTAAAAATTTCTATGGGAAATATGAATAGAAAAAACACTTCCAGAATAGTGTTATTTAAGTATTATTTAGATAGAATCATAGTTTTTATTAAGATTTTGAGAGAACTTTTTATTTTTTATTTTTTTTTTTTAAGTTTTAGTAATTTAGTTGTGTTTGCCATTTTCTGTTTTTTTTTAAATAGATTTATATAGTTTTTATTTATTTCTATTTAATTTTTTTATTAGTTATTTTAGTGGATCAGGTGAAACTAAATGAAAATGAGAGATGTTGCCTTGGCAACTTGGTGAATTATTATGTTTTTTTTTTTTTACATTTTATTTCAGGTAACATTTATTTTATTTCCTGTAACTTTTTTTTTTTTTTACGATTTTAGTTTTAGTTCTGGATCCAGCGACACTGAAAAAGTGGCCAGCACCAATGCACTCTTTTTATAAACTGAAATGATTGTGATGCTCAGCAGGTTTTTGGGGTTTGTGCGTTCATGTGTTTTCACTGAGAATCGTGTGTGTGTGTCTGTGTCTGTGTCTCTGTGTGTGTGTGTGTGT